ACATGCAAATATCAGCACGTCTGTCAAATGGCGAACTACATACCACCAACAACCAACCACTCATATGCTGATGCAAATACCTCATGTGGATGGACACCCTATACCTCATTTCAAGCTGTGTGCACTCTATGTATATCGAGTGTGGCGAAATTGGCAAGTATTACATTTGGATTTGGATTTGACTTGTTAATGCTAAAAAGCACATTGGAATTATTTGACCCATATTTGGTTTACATGGTTGATGATCAACATACCCAGTTTGATCATGTCAGTTTGCTTCATTGTTGATGATCAATACCCAAATTGATCATGTTTTGGTACACTGCAAACTACCCTGTGCAGCTGTATGTTACGTAATGTCTCGCTTGTATATAGTCGTCATATGGAGTTCAAGTCTTACTGTTGGGCAACAGTTAGTGTCAGATAGATGATGGTGTTGAGTTAAACCCTAATGGAACCCTAGTTTATGGTCTAGCCTGATACTTGTTTTGAACTTGAACTATTCTATTGTTTATCGATGGTTGGAGTGTCGGTTTTATTGTATTGTTGCATTAAGGTCATACTTTAATTTATATACTGTATGCATGTATGGGTTTCCCCCAAAGCCACCCTAGGGAGATACAATTTGTTGCACCCAATATTACCAAAGGGAATATAAGTTGTTGCACCCACCCTTATGTTGTGTCTTGGAATATTATAAGTTGGTGATGTACTACTACCAACTTGGGTATACAGTTTTACTCATGTTCATGATTGATCACTTACTACATAACATGCACCCACTTGTTACATAGCATGTACCCACATGATGTGTAATCGCACCCATATGTCATGTAGCACGCGTCGGCATGTTTCATAGCAGGCGCCCACTTGTTGCGTGACATGTATATCCATGTCATGTGATTGCACCCACATGTTATATGACATTAATTTTCCTAGCATGTTACATAATGAGCAGTCATGTATACATTGTTATCACTAATTGGTATGTTGAATCAAATGTTGTACAAGTTATTGTTATAGTCATTATTTGGTATGTTTCACCCAAGGTTGTGATTACATAATGTTACGTTGATATTCCTAGTCAGTCTTACATTTTGTCAGTGGTTGTAATTAGGTTCTTTGCGTCATGTCGTACACTCCAAGGTGCCAGTTGTTGTTGTTCTCATTGTCAAAGGTTGTTGCAAAGTCATGGTAATACATATTGCTATGTATGTTTATTTGGTCACCAGTTGTGTCACACACTCTCCCAGATGAAAGTATTGTATGTTATATGTGTAGTTAATGTAGGATTTATGAATGTGAGCTCAATAATGTGTAATTGCAGTATCAGCTTCTTGGTAATTATGTAATCTTATTTGAGTATGTATTGTACTTGATAGGAAATACTATGTATATTATCGTAACCACATTTCAGGGATCTTAGTTGCATAACGATCCACCTTTGTGCATTATCCTTGAATATGGGTACCCGTTGCCATTGAGTAACGCTGCACCATATATCATCCATGTGTCACAATATCAGAACTTTTATTCATATATATATATTTCCACACTATGTGTGTAATTGTCATAATTACTATACTCACTTTATAATCATATTGTAAATAAACCCATAATTATGTTATCATTTATATTTAAACCAAATCATCTGTTTTGTCAGTTAGGTGTATGTTTTATGTCGCAGTGCGACATATTCAGCCATTTTGCCATTCAACCAATCATGTCTGTAAAACCCTTGAGAGCGCATACAATCACAACACGGACCCGGTAATAATGTGACGATTCTTCCACTCACTCATCAACCCTTTAACGCTACCAATACCTTTTGCACTTACCATGCAGAGTGAGGGTCGTTACACCATATTATAACATTTTTCCAATATCCTGAACCTCATATACACTGGGGAGTATCGTGATGCAACAACACCGTGTTGTTGCATCAAGATGGCCAGACTTCCGGTGATAGATTTTCGTACGATATTTTGTTTCCCCAATTAAACCCATTTCTAGGACGAGTTGCTCAATAACCATACACGTGCAGTTAGCGCACGATCTATATTTAAAGAAACTGTCATTAGTATACATGTACCATCACCAAGAAGCAATAAGTTCACGGTTTTAGTTCCTCACTATTGATGCAACAACACCAAACCGAAGATGCAACAACACTCCTCTAGATTTGAGCAATGATGCAGCAACACCAATGAATAGTTTAATTTCAGAAGACCATAAATCTCGAGAGGAACAGATTTTTAAATGCTACTATTGCAACACCGTTACCAATTAGCCTACCCATATTTGCGTTCTTCTCAAGGCATTCAGAATACACGTCCTGCGGGCGAAGATCCTTTTTATGTATTTTCAAAAATTTATACTCTTACATATTATAATGTACTGGACGTTGTTCTATAACATAGTTCAATCGCCTTTAACATGGCAAGCTTCAGTAACCCAATCTATTTTCATAAACCACTGCCCCATAGCTTGATGACCCTGACTCCAGTTAGTATCATTCAAAATGGTGGACAAACATCTTTCGTTCTCGGTAAACATGATGAGCTATTGGATATTATCTGTCATCCATCTGTGGAACAGTGATAAACTAGTAGATGTACGTTACCACTGTTTATCAAATTATAACTAAAACAGTTTAACTGTGACATTCGTGAGCTTATGTTGATGGGATGATTGCTTCATCTATGATATAATATGATATGATTCTTATATTTCCTCCAATTTGGAGAGCCAACGTGTAAAAACGTTTAATTGACTTTATTAGAGAGGCCGTTTAATGGAAATCTTGCCCGACGCACATGTAGAATTATTGCTCTCTTTGGATTCCTTCTCTCCGACTGAGTAGAAAGGTAAACAAAAGTGATAAGATTTAGGGCCCAAAAAGGTAAATTGATAGGGGTACAGTTATCCCAGATATCCCGGGCCCTCGGGAAATATCATATTGTCTCTCGAAATAAAACCAATATTGAATACCTCTCAGTAAATAACCTTTATATAATAGCATTGTATAACTGCAATATTATTAAACCAACACCCATCCTATACAACTCTTGAGAACGATGTACAACTCCTGGATAGCGTAAACTCCTGAGCAGCGTATACAACTCTTCAACTTGATATATGACATCATACTTTGGGTGGGATAACGGAGGATATACGATATACAATTGTAGACCTCTCTTGAGGTCAACTGGCAAAATTGTATACCGATACTGCAATCTTTGAAAGTTCGGAGGTCGAGGTTAACAGTACTCTCAGGGTTTACTGTTGAGGTATACACTTTGGCCAGTTGACCGAATAGAGAGGTTAACAATTGTTTGTTAGTCCGAAGAATATAATAATTTGAAGGATATAATATACAATTGTAGACCTCTCTTAAGGTCAACTGGCAAAATTCTATACCAATACTGTAAACCTTGAAAGTACTGTTGATCAAGACCAGAGGTCGAGGACACTTTTGCCAGTTGACCGAAAAGAGAGGTTAACAATTGTTTTGTTAGTCCAAATAATAAAATAATTGGACGAATATATAATCGAATATCACGTGAACATATTTGATAAGTAAAGGTATCATATTTTAGCAAAAAATCCCCAAACCGTCGAATACTTGTAATTTTTTAAACAACTTATTTTTCAAAATTAAAAAAATTTCAACATTAAAAAAACAATTTTTCAAAAATAGTGGTCAACAGTACCTAGTAGTGGTCAACAGTTTACAATTGTTGACCTCCCCAGAGGCCAACCGGCAAAATTGTATACCGAGACTGTAAATCGAAAAACTACTGTTGACAGAGACCTTAGTAGTTTCAAGGTTTACAGTCGAGGTATATGATTTTGACGGTTGATCGAATGGAGAGGTCTACAATTGTTTTGTTAGTCCGAGTAAACTAATAATACACATATAGACAACAATCATCAATTGGCATGGCTTCATTTCACAACCTTTTCTCCGAACCACGTTAGCAATATTTTTAGAAAATATGGAGACGGTGCAAGTAGCTTAACTCTGTATTTGGCACATCATGGCGTACTCGTTTGTGAATTAATGTTAATTTTAAGTTTCTATTTGTATTTTTGCTATTCTTGTCGCCTAGTAAAGTCATTTTCATCAACGTTTACGAAATGTCCGTCTTCCATGTTTTTTGGTGACGTCATGAAACTTTTTTTCAGAAGTAGCGGTCAACAGTACCTAGTAGCGGTCAACAGTACATAATTTTGACCGCTAATCACCCAATTAGAATCGAGTATTTCAGTTGAGGTACTAACAAAACATTTTGTTGCCCGCTCATCAACCAATCAGAATTGAGTATTTCAATTGAGGTACTAACAACCAAAAATGACTGATATTGTTGTCTTTCCAAAATTATATGAGTTATTTGTAAGCAATTTCCATACGGTAAAGCAAGGGCATTTAATTTAGAAAATGTATAATCTTTATTTTTCAGATACAATATCAATGAGATTGCCTCCCGGGGATTCTGTACTTTATTTAGTTTGCCTTGTATATCCTTTTAACTTTGATATAGACAAAGAAACCAAACAAAATACGTTTCGTTCATGGACCACTGACTCATGCGTTTTATTCATGTCCCGACCTACACCTGTAAACAGAACATAAAACAGTTTCTCTATTCAATGATACATTATATTGGTGTTTTTGCATCAGCACATTGGTGTTGTTGCATCATCGATAAGAAACAGAGTGGTGTTGTTGCATCAATAGTGAGGAATTAAAACCACGAATTTATCGCTTCTTGATGATGCTACATGTATACCAATGACAGTTTTTTAAAATATAGATCATGCGCTAACTGCATGTGCATGATTATTGAGCAACTCGTCCTAGAAATGGGTGTAAATTGGGAAAACAAAACATCGTACGAAAATCTATCACCGGAAGTCTGGCCATCTTGATGCAACAACACGGTGTTGTTGCATCACGATACCCCCAGTGATATAGTATAATCTCTATAGAAACTTACCAGAAATGTATAGAATGTAGAAACTGCTCCATTTACAACTACTGTCACCCATGTTGGTATACCAGTTACTGAAAGTGATATTCAACATGGTTATCATTGCACTTCATTAGTGTACGTTTGGCACCGTTTAGTGTATAGTTTTATCACGGTTCTCTTCTGTCTCAATCAGGATTGGGAGCGTCTTACGTTTGCTAGACGAAGAGATGCGATGAGTATCCAAATTGCAAAGTTGGATCGTGGAATGATTGTAACTAAATTATTTTTTTGATTTTTGTATAAATGAATCATGGCCTACCTGCTTCTAGAGCTGTTGATGGAGAAAACAGGACGATTCCCATATAAAGGAGCTGGGACACAATCAAAATTAGAGTACCGGTTAGTTTAGCTGCGTGAGACTTGAACCTAAGTTGGAGGTACTACAATAAACCAAAATATCATTAGATCTTTGTATGTGTCGAAAAATGATTATTGAAAACGCAATAAATTCTGGAATCGTTTGAAGTTCAAACAAATGACTTGTTGCTATTTGGAAAATTTCTTTTGCGAATAATAGCATACCAAACACCATGAATAACATCTCATACCTCGTACGAACTTGTAAGTTTGAGAGGGTACAGCAGTGGTACAAATGAGACAGCAGCGAAGATAATAGCGATACAGATTCCGAAGGCGTTCAGCCAATACATCGTCCCCCTCCTGTACATCTCAGCCGGCGTACCCAAAATCAAAATAGCGGAGAGGAATGAGACGCATATGGAGATAGCCACGGGGAGGGTTGACATGTTTCTGTTAGCCATAAGGTACTCCTTTTGGGTTTTCTGTTTACCACCCGTGAACGCATAGAACAAGCCAATCCCGGCAGATATGGCCAACATTACACCAAATACCACGTAGTCCCATGGTGAGAAAGTTCTCTCGAGGGGTAGCATTTTGATGCTTTTGCCCCGTGTATGCTGATTCTTAAAGAACTATTTGTTGGTATTCAACATCAAAGTCTTCAATTGTGTTCTGTCAGTGAAGAATCCTAAACTTCTTCGCTTACACACTTTCTTCGATACTGGTGAGGACCAAAGATAGTCTCGCGAATTTTAAAGTGTATGTAAATATATATGAAGAATGGAACTAGATAAGACGGACATATCTCCTAATCCAAGGAATTTATGGGCTCAACATGCTTGAATGTGATAATTCTATATCAAGGCTTGTAGCGTAGGTACCATTGTTTTAAACCAAATATTGTCTACCAGGATGCTAAAATAATTGTTTGATTATATGAATATAATATTATTCCATATTGTTTTATTTAGGGGTTGGGGACAGGTAACTTTGGGCGCAAGTTGGGCGTTGGGTTATCCTCCATTCATGGTTAAAATGCGTTAAGATACAACATAATTTAAGATGAAGAAAATGTAATCCAAGAAAGTACCTGCTGCCAACTTAACAATTAAATTGAATAGGTTTATTTCATAAATACATGTACAGGGTGTCCCGAAAGTATTGCCCCCCCCCCCTTAGGCAGGCATATACCAATGTCTCCATAGTATTTGTCATATATCATTTTAAAGCTCATTCAAAGTTACACTGATTTGCCAAATATCATGGTTCAACTCACAAATCGTAAAATAATAGTCGATTTGTCTCCCTAGGCCATGTTAACAGCAGCAATGCTTTCCATATATGGCCTTAAATGCGCTTCAAATAGGGATGTGGCATTTTGTAACCCTTATAAAACCTTCTTAAGGCATTTTAGAAGAGTTTCCTTGGAGTATATACCCCCAGCGTCCTAATTTTGAACACAATATCCATCCTATCTTCGACAATAGCGCCCATATTTTAGGTCACATTCAGGTCAGGGCTTACTTCCTGCGAAAGCTATGTGGATTTTGATATAATAGCTTTCTACGGCGCACTTAGGCAGCTGAATAATAGTGACCCTTGAAACACAAATAAAGTCGATCAGCGGCTTACTTTTGGTCTCTAACTGTGTCTTCCATCAGTATCATCAATCCGTGCGAGTATTATTACTTCTTTTTCGATCAAGACTTGTAAATAGTTCATCGAGTGAATGTTTTTTCGACCCATTTCCAATATGGCGGTTTGCTAGGAGCGAGATACGCAACGAACGAAATGAATTTTGAGAATGAGTTAGGTTCGGTCAACCTCCGGAGATTTACGAAAATGTCCGAACAGAATACGCATTGGAATTTGGCAGAAAAACATTTACTCGACTAACAATTGCAAGTCTTATCGAAAAGGAAGTACTTCAGCGCTCCAATACTTGCACGGAAGGATGATAATGATGTATGACATAGTTAGAGAACAAAAGTAAGCCGCTGATCGACTTAATTCGTGTTTCAAAGGTCACTATTATTCAGCTGTCTATTTCCCCGTTCGAGAGCCATAAGTTTCAAAATCTAACATGGCTCTCGAAGTGAGTAAGTCAGGGCTGTTTCCAGGATACTGTATTGAACTATATTTTTGGCCAAACGCTAAGTTTTGAAATGCCTGTAACTTTTTACCATTTGTGAGTTGAACCATGATACTTGGCAATTCAATGTAACTTTGGATAAACTTTAAAATGATATATGACACATACCATGGAGACATTGGTATATGTCTGCCTAGGGGGCCCATACTTTCGGGACGCCCTATATACAGTGAATCACAGGGTTGGGGCAAATCGCCTTCCGGCATTTCATGTTCCCATATTTTTTTTACAAATGAGATTTGAATATCTGAACTAACAAATATGAAATAATAAGACAAATATTTCATTCTTACGGAGGGCAATACCTGTTCATTTTGCAGTATGTATTGCGCGCACCCGCATCCCGTAGGACGAGGGCAATTCATGTTACAAAAATCATAACCTGCATTAACCCCAAGTATCATTGAACAGTACACTTTTATTTTCGTCCAATGTAGTTGTCAGAATTGAGGGAGCTGTGAAATACGCTATGGTATTTTCAATCACATGATACTGAATCAGCCAATCAACGATTTATAGCAATGATATGATGAATCTGTTTAATTGAAGAATCAAACAATAATTCTGTTGAAGAATAGGGATAGAGTTGCTGCTACGAACGATAAGATAAGGATGATCTTGGAGAACGTTGAAAATTGAAGTCAGTCTCAACAGTATTTGTTAAGTTATTGGAAGTTTTAAGAATTTGTTACAGACGCCAACAGCCACCGGCCGATCGCCAACCATCAACCGCTGCCACAAAAGCGGAGACCCTAACAATATGTCATCACTTGGTGGTGACATAAAAAGTTACTTCTTTATTTTTTATTCATCACTCTAATTTACTACCATGTTGCATGAACTTAATCACTAGCCAACTGGTGGACAGACAGAACCTAAGATAAAGGAAAGTTAACATTCTATCAGACATGAAAATATATTAAATTTTACTGTAAAAACACTTTATTTACTAACAAACAAATCTACATATTCACAACTATATGTCGGGCCTTTTTAAAAATCTGAGACAAGAATTGAGTCCCATGTTTCCAAAATGAATTTTCATAAAAAAATATTGCCTATTTATGATTCAAATTGAACAAATTTATTTTGTTCAAAAATTGCCCACCATGGGATAGGGGAGTCAGCTCATTATAAACAGTGTTCTCAATAATGTCCAATTAAATGCGCATTTCACTATGTTATATCCATTACAACCTTCAGCCATGGTAACAAACTCAATATATGAAGCAAATTAACATGGTGAAGGATGGTCAAAACAATGTACATATCATGTGTCTAATTGTATTTCTCTTGTCCCTCAATCATGGTGTCGATGATGAATTGGTACAGCTTGGTCCATAGTGCATTGTGGTCATCTGTGAAGGAATCGCCCAACTTCTCTTTCATCAACTCTCGTTGTGATTCACCCAAGAACTGGAAAAAGAAGAAAAATGCAACAGTTGACATGCGTAGTTTAAGTTTTAATAGCGTTAGAACCCGGGTGTTAGAATTCGTTTTTAAACCAAGCCCCATGATAAAGAAATCTTCATCCTAGACCTAACCTGCTTCTGAAAACGAGACCATTAGATCCCTTTTCCCTAGCCGTCATTTTAGGTTTAACTTCATTTCTGTTCAACAAAACTCTGACATTGGCAGTAAATGATAATGTATAGCACAATGCCCTCAAGTTTTGGATCAGAGGGACATACATCAAACCATCAACCCCTATCCTAATCCTCCGAACACACGGTTCAGGCAATACCGACTTTGTTCAAATATGTAACAAAATAGATGATAGCTGAATGAATTATTCTATGCGAAGGTTGTATGGATGCTTAGCCTAATGGTTAAGCCTAATTTATATATTCTATTTAATTGTTTCAAAATCAATCTAGACTAATCAACTTACAGGGAAAAAGTCTTTTGGAATGTTATAGCCATTGGTTCCGTGTCTACCACCTAGGGAAAGAAGAGATGGGACGATGCTCTCCATGTTGTCAAGGTCATCCACAACATTGCCGATCATCTTTGATACCATGGTGATGTGAAGCATGAGACGGGAGGTATCTTGCATTTGTCCCTCGGCTTTGGTAGAGGCGAAGGAGAACACAGACTGGGTCTGTGGGTACTTCTCGAACATCCTAGAAAAGAAATAAACCACAGTTGCAGTGTATAAAAGCAAAGGGTGTTCAAAAAGTATTGAGTATATTTATTTAAATAGCAGCTGTCCCGTACTTTTGGATCACCATGTAAAATTGAATTGAAATATACAAAGTGCTTGGAATATGATCAACCAAGTATTGACGACTTGATCTCTGGTGTTAAGGAATAACTAAGGGCCCTCTAGAGGAAACGATATAAGAGAATTTCAAAACCCAAACACTTGCACATATTCGGCTAGCTACTTTGCACGAGGGTAGTCCGGACAATCGAGTAACAAAATATGGATGGACAGCAGCCAGATGAAGGCAAAGGACATTCTGATAGCCGAATTAATGCAGCAATGTATTGAGGCAAAGGACACAAAGGTGGTTAATAAATAAACGCTATATTGCAGCTAGAAGGTATAAACTGATTATTGAAAATAAAAATGCCAAGTGTTCATCAAGTATCAAGACAACGTTAAGTCACTTACTCTTTTTCCCCACAATCCTTTGACGTTAACTCCTATCTAAAGTTTAAGCAACGCCAACTACCAATTTGAACCACAAAGTTAAACCCTAATGCCAATGGAGACGTGCGTGTCGTTATTTACCTAAAAACATGTCAAGTCGTGCGTGTCGTTATTTACCTGTAAAACATGTCAAGTCGTGCGTGTCGTTATTTACCTGTAAAGCATGTCAAGTCGTGCGTGTCGTTATTTACCTTTAAAACATGTCAAGTCGTGCGTGTCTTTATTTACCTTTAAAACATGTCAAGTCGTGCGTGTCGTCATTTACCTGTAAAACTTGTCCAATCGTGCGTGTCGTTATTTACCTGTAAAGCATGTCAAGTCGTGCGTGTCGTTATTTACCTGTAAAACATGTCAAGTCGTGCGTGTCGTTATTTACCTGTAAAACATGTCAAGTCGTGTGTGTCGTTATTTACCTGTAAAACATGTCAAGTCGTGTGTGTCGTTATTTACCTGTAAAACATGTCAAGTCGTGCGTGTCGTTATTTACCTGTAAAACATGTCAAGTCGTGCGTGTCGTTATTTATCTTTAAAACATGTCAAGTCGTGTGTGTCTTTATTTACCTATAAAACATGTCAAGTCGTGCGTGTCGTCATTTACCCGTAAAACATGTCAAATCGTGCGTGTTGTTATTTACCTGTAAAACATGTCGAGTCGTGCATGTCGTTATTTACCTGTAAAACATGTCAAATCGTGCGTGTCGTTATTTACCTGTAAAACATGTCAAGTCGTGCCTGTCGTTATTTACCTGTAAAACATGTCAAGTCGTGTGTGTCGTTATTTACCTGTAAAACATGTCAAGTCGTGTGTGTCGTTATTTATCTTTAAAACATGTCAAGTCGTGCGTGTCTTTATTTACCTATAAAACATGTCAAGTCGTGCGTGTCGTCATTTACCCGTAAAACATGTCAAATCGTGCGTGTCGTTATTTACCTGTAAAACATGTCAAGTCCAGCCTGTGTTGGGTTGGCGCCCATGAACGTTGTCCAGCTGAGCTTCAACTTTTGCTTCTCGTTGACGGTGAGAGCCAATTTGTCACTGCTGTTCTGATAACGTACTCTCTCGTACAACCTACAACAAAACAGCGTAATAATCTCATGTTAATAGTAATAACTTGGTAATAATAGTATCATCCAGAATAAAGTACTAAACACGACATGTTGATTGTTTTTTCAACAAAGCAGCGGGTCATTTCACGTACACGTATTTACTTAAAGTGTGTCTTGTAGTTTTCCCATTTGTGCTTTACTAGTATTGATGTGTGTACGGAGTATAAAGCAGTTATATCAAAACTAAATGGAAAATATTTGCGTTTTATTAAAATAAATTCATAAAGTAGTATTCCGTCTATTATAGAAATATAAAAAGAGAGTAAAAACTGCCAATGTGAATGTAGGAGTTGATTTTTATGACGTGGGTATAAGATGTTCTGTACTTACTCGCAAATCATGGACTCTGATACTTGTGCTAGATCCTGAAAGTAAACATTGAATATATTATATAACATAAAATACATCGAAGTCAAAATTAATACTTAAATAGAGTTAGTAATTTGTAATTTCAATTGTAAAAATCTCACTTGATTCTGATCGATCAAAATGCCGTGGAGAGGAATTCTAACAGACGCATCAAGAAGTTTTTAAGAATCTCAGGTCAAGAACAATTTCATATTGATTGTTATATAGTATTTTACAAGTCAAATAGGCGTTTTGAAATCATAAATCAAAGTAGAAAGTAAAAAATAAAAGAGGAACATCAACATTTCCCTGGTCAGCTTTGCTCCCTTTGAAAGACAAATATTGATGTTGATGATGGTTTCCGACTTACACAACCTGCATTTGGGAGAAAAATTACTACTTTATTTAAATAATTTGGATCAAACGTAATATAGGATTGCAGTCACGCCCCATTTCTTTTTAAACGGAAAAGTTTTCAACCAAAGTACGTCAAAACATTACATTACAGTTGATCTCAAATAAAAAACAATTTTAGAATTACAAAAACAGTAATGCTTTCTTTCACTTGTAAACTCCCAACACGATTATTCTTTTCAGATTTAAAAACGCCTTTTTTAAAACTTTGATGAAGAATTTTATTAAAATAATAAATTTCTGCGTTCAAAGCACAATAATATAGTCATTAACTTTTAAACTAAAGCAATAAGATACTATGTCTAGTAGCTTACTGTATGAAATCATTGGATCCTAATAATGAAGATCAACTTACCATGGTGAAGATTTGTGCTGGCCTAGTGATACAGATGTTTGTCGTCTGAGGCTGCTAGAGGGTTTAACTGATGTTAAAGGAAACGCAAACATTTGAGTCGATTTCGGAACTACTTTTTAAATATTTAACATACGGTCCAGGCTACGGTCATTGAAGCTTAAATATTACTCCGCGATAAGTTGGCAACTTGTTATCATTACAGATTTTGCTTTTTGCATGGGCAACTACCCCTCCAGGGGATAGAGGTACATGGTAGTACGTAATGTGCTGTTTTAACTAATTGCACAGTGTGATTTCGCAAAAAGTTTTTTTAAAATAAATTTCACACGGTACATTGCATTCATATATTCATTCTATTTTAACTCATGAGCAATGGGGATGACTTAGAATGAATGCCCAGTTAAGTGTTATGGAATTGAATTCTGGAATCCAAATAAAATATTCATAAGTTAATTCTTCAGATATGGCAGGTACGTGGAAGAGGAAGATACAGACGGTGGTGATTAAAAGCCCAGTCCAACAGGGAAGCTGGACTAAATGGGGTCGGCTCCCAACGTTCCCTGAAATAGAATAACACGTGACCCATGGTCCAAATGAGGCTCAGTTGTTTTTGGTGATTGCCTTTCCCAATTTACTCCCCCGGGTTGTTCACTGTATACAAAATCTAGGAGGGTACTAGGCTGAACCCTAAAATATCAATATGGTCCCATGCCAATCTTTCAATATGTATTCCAATACAAACCAAAAAAACGTCCAAAAGTCATACCAAATATTCAGATATAAGGCCAAGGCCATTCAAAATGTCTAAAGTCCAGAGAAGATGGCCAATATTTGAGCAAAATCATCCATTAAACAACTTCAAATTAAGGATGTTACGTTTATCTACCTAGAACAATGCCATACCATAAGTGAGAGGTAACATATTTTCCGTGACCATTCTCATACCAGAAAGTGGAAAAATCCGACCATTGCCATACCCCAAAAGTGATAATTTTGGGAGGCATTCTCATACCAGATCCAAAAAGGGTCCATTGCCATACCAAATGTCAAAAAAAGGTACCCAACATGAGCCGAGGATCCCCGTCAAGGTTTAAATACAGCGAATCCCCCGGGTTTGCTCCCAACACCATTAAATGGCTTGGGACGAAAGAAACAACCGGGCCGACAGAGACTTGCTAACAATATAAATCTGTAAATTAAAGAAGATATATGTATTATTATTTACAAGTAAAAAAAATGTGACCTGTTATGATGCTTGGTAAGATGTTTACTTGGTACATGAGAAAAAATATCACACTGGGATAAGACACAGATGGATGCAATCTTCCCAAATTGAATCCGTAGTAGTCTTTGACCTGCCAAGATAAAATTATTTCAAAATAATGCATTTTCATTATTTTGAGCACTCTTCAAGTTATTTAATTTAAGTGATTTTTTGGCCAAATTGGAATTTAAAAAAAACTGCCCCCCATTGATGGCTACGGGTTTGTCAATCATACTGTTAAACCAGTGTATTACTTCAATCACATGCAATACCTTGATATGTCAAGATGTCTGTCACTGTCATCATTTTAATCTCTTAATACTAAAATCTTTTTTGCCATATAAGATTATATCTGATTATGGAAATGTTAACCTCTTGTAGCTATTTTCTAAAAACGTGATGAATCGTTACACAAACATGATTATCCCATTTCAGCAATATCCCAAAGCTAGTAATCGCATTTTGCTGGACAGCCAAAATCAAAAATAATTCATTGATCTTGTGCAACGTGCATGTAATCAGATAATCAGTTAAACATAGTTTTTCAAAAACTTTTAAATCAAGCAATCAACGAAATGCAATCAATGTTGTAGCAAAGCCCTACTCTGCATGATGTAATCTATAATGATTGTCCTGGATTCACAAATATCCCACATCGACTAACCCAGACCTTATACATTTTAACAAACGCTTTACAGGCTCGTAGCCAGGATTTGCCAAGGGGGGGGGGGTCAGTTTTCAAAAGCTTCCAGGGGGATTCACATTGACAATTTTGGCCCAAATATGGCTAAAGAAGTGCTCAAAACGGTGAAAAACTGCATGATTTTTAAAGAATTTTTGACCGGGGGGGGGGGGAACCCCCCTGACTACGGGCCTGCTTCACATCAGCAAACATGAGTGTTGGGTACTCCATCTTTAAAAATATATTATGGGCGTGTTTACCGAATTACTCCACGTACATGCGCGGTGAAAATAATCCCATAGATTTGAAAGCGTCCCTGATATTTATTGTGCCTTATTTCACTTCAGTCGTCAGCGTCGCAACACTTAGAACTACGCACAATAAATATGGTAAGCAATTTTAAACAAGGTTCATGGTCACTTGAATCTGATTCAGGAAAGAATTATTTTAGATTATTAGTATTTATTTGTATCTCTCAAGTTATCATATACTTTTTTGCACAGAGATTGTTTTGAACGTGTTCTGTGTGGTCTCAATACAAATTGCCGAATGACTGGGATAGATATTTTATATTGCACGAATAATGAGTTTCGTAATACGATGAATAGCTTTTCTTGAAATTCTTGATTCTCGTTTTCAGCCTCTTTACAACATCTCTGGATCCCAATACCTTGGTAAGTAGAATTATCTTAAAACTGAGTGGTATTTTACAATAATTACTTGTCTATTACAACTTCTGAGGATGTGGAGTTCGGTTGCAATCCGTTGTTCATCTCACAATTTAGTTGCAATTTCAATTAACACTTTCGTTGCAATCCGTTGTTCATCTCACAATTTAGTTGCAATTTCATTTAACACTTTTCTTTCGTTGCAATTCATTGTTCATCTAACAATTTGGTTGCAAACCGTTGTTCATCTTACAATTTAGTTGGCAATTTCATCCCGGGAATTTCATTTAACACTCGTTGCAATTCATTGTTCATTTAACAATTCGGTTGCAATTCGTTGTTCATCTCACTATTTAGTTACAATTTCATTTAACACTTTTCTTTCGTTGCAATTCATTGTTCATTTAACAATTCGGTTGCAATTCGTTGTTCATCTCACTATTTAGTTACAATTTCATTTAACACTTTTCTTTCGTTGCAATTCATTGTTCATTTAACAATTCGGTTGCAATCCGTTGTTCATCTTACAATTTAGTTGCAAATTTCATCCCGGGAATTTCATTTAACACTCGTTGCAATTCATTGTTGATTTAACAATTCGGTTGCAATTCGTTGTTCATCTCATTATTTAGTTGCAAATTTCATCCCGGGAATTTCATTTAACACTCGTTGCAATTCATTGTTCATCTAACAATTCGATTGCAATTCGTTGTTCATCTCACTATTTAGTTGCAATTTCATTTAACACAATTCGGTTGCAATTCATTGTCCATCTTCCTAGCAATCACACATTAAGAAAGAAGGCGCATTCTAGTATTATCGAATAAAAACAACATTTTAGCATGCATTTATAAACTCTATAAGAGAAATACGAGTCCATTTGGAAAAGGTTTGTGTACATATAATCGGACTTTTATTATTAAAACAAGAAGACTAGTAATGTTGTGAGAATTTACGATTACAATCAACTAAACAGGTATTATTTTTTCAAGACTGGATATTTACACGTCGTGGTAAAATTTAAAATCAAAATGATTTGTGTATGTTGAAATGAAATTTCCCCCATTTTTCTATTTTTCTGAATGTGCAAAACTACATGTACATGTACCTAAGCAATCTATACTAATAATACAGCGTATTTTAGGTCTGTTGAAATTCTTCAACAGCTACCAGAGGAACAACGTGCTTGGCAAGCAGGAGTTAAGAGCCATCCTCAGTCGTAGAGACATCGAGCCAACCGACAATGAGCTCCAACAGATGATTGACTCCATTAGCGTGGAATGTAAGCATACACTTATACATCCCTATAAATCCCTCGATAAAGGATATGTATCAATATGGTGAACTGAATTCAACAATGTTTTTCTCTTATTGAAAACATTCTGTAAAAAACACAGTCCTTTATATAATGTTGACTAATTGGCAACAATTTAATTGCAAAAATTATTTATATATATTTTATATAACTGTTTTTGTTAACATTTTTTGTTCTTTAGTGCAACTGCTTTTTGTTCCTTTCTACCAATTCTTGAGAATGAAATAAAATGTCTTTCCGAACCTTGTTGGAACAAAATAGCATATACAACATTTTCTTAGACCTCTCAATATTATAGTTATAGTATACAAAGGACATTTTGGTTGATTTAACAAAAAGTATGCAAAAACTTAAAACAAAAACTCCCAAAATAGATAAAAAATTAAGATAACCCTTTTATTTCATTGTCGAGATACTTTTTTAAAATCAACCAAACATTCCTTTGTACAATTACAATATTGAGAGACCTAAACACGTTGTGTTTATGTCGTTTTGTTCCAATGAGGTTCGAATAGATGTGTCATTTCAATCCGAACATATGATACCAAGAACAAAAGAAGTATCTGATGTGTTTTCTAAAACAATATAGAGAAAAGTATATACATATATTTTAAATTATAATGTTACCATCCAAAAGATGACCATTAAATTGACGATGTGTAATAAGTGTTAAAATTCAGTTCAAAGCTTCTATAAAGGGAGTCCCACTTATAGATTTTTAAGATCCACCACGTTTCAAGAGGAATATCAGCTGAAATAATGTTCATCCAGGGAGAAAAATATATGTTAGTCTTGATGAAATATCCAAACTTTAATATCTTTTGACACTGGTCGATGATAGTTGAATGGCCCCCCTTGCACTAATTGTTGCACCTTTAATATTGATTTTGATGGACTAAGGCTAGTGATGCGTTCTCAACTTCTTTATAAATGTTTCATACTTCATACTTTCATACTTCATAAATGGTATTTATTCGGCTGTGTTTGTGTTCTTTATAAATGTTTCCCTTTGTACATATGTTAAAAACATTCATACGATCCAGATATTTAATCATGAGTATCCGTTATTTACAGCGTCTGGAATCGGCTTCCAAGCGTTCGTCGACTACATCAGCGAGTTTGAAGGGCTCCGTGATCAAGACAAAGACTTCTCCGCCGCTTTCAATATCTTTGACCGTTCTGGCACAGGAGAGCTTTCCCGTGAAGATCTCGCCATCGTCATTGGAAAGATGGGCCAGAAAGGCACTGATGTGGATGCAATCATCGAAGCCTGTGATAAAAATAATGACGGAAAAATTCAATACGATGGTGAGTAGGAAAATAGCTTAGTAAGCTGAGGGTGCAAATATGATTTTTATTCCGAGATAAAGGGATATTTCATGACTAAGGAATTCTGTTTTTCATCGAAAATTTATCAAATAATAGAATACATTTATTTTCCAACCAGAGATATCAACATCACAATCCGAAACCATGAGATCTTGTAACATTTAATCAAATATACAGGGTGGGCCAAAATGTTTTGAGCTCATTGCATAATATCGCATTGTTGAATCAACACTTCTAGGCTTTTACATATAAAGAAAAAGTATTGGAGTTCGAGTTTTATTGTTTGTATATCATTTTAACATAATCATAGAACCTATCTTTATGCATTGTACTTCGTAGGGGTTATATCTGTCTGGTCAAGTCTTACCATTCTGTATTCAGCAATTGGTAAATCATGATTTTGACCCCTTTGGTAATCAAAATGATATTTTAAGACAAATACACATTTCTATTGAATGAATTATACATCATTTTGTTGGAAATTGAATTGAAATTGAATGATATATAGTTTCTACATTTGTCTGTAATATCAACAGCGTCACCTCAAAACAAAACTATGGGCGTTTTTGGCCCACCCTGTAAATCATTGCAATACAAATTGCATTGAAGAATGAAGATTTCAAACCACGTAGGCCTAACTGATACGAAATAATGATTTTTTGAGACAAACTTGGTACTTAATTGTGGCATCACATCACATGGTATCGCCAACAACAACTGATATAGATGAAATATCCCACTGGAGCCTGGTTGGTTCTACTTCAGTATTACTTTGACTCAGTCAACAAGAACCAAATCAAGTTTTATTTTACGTGTATTTTCAGAATTCATCGAGGTCATGAAGAAACAAATATAGAGGACACACAGGGACCAATTACACTTCAAGGATATATATATATAGTTGACATTATGTTACGAAATGAACAGTTTTCGAAAGGACAGTACAATAAAGGACCGATTTGTGTGTCATACCAGAGACATTTACTTGTGAAACACATATATACGAAGTAGAATTACGTCATGTGGAAGACATTTACCCGAACACTATCAGAATTTTATTTTCATAATGTGACACATGTATCATGATGCTTGTTAGTTAAATAGAATAACATGTTATTTTCTACTTGAATTTTTTGATAATTATGTTACTGCATGGTTTATTATGACAGACAGTTCCATCCAAAAGTTTAAGAACCGAGTAAGTCCCAATTTTGGACAATATTTAACCCTGTTTAACTTTGGCAATGCTTGGAAACTCATTTTCCGACCTATTGTTACAGAAAAAAGTTTATATAAACAGGCATTTCATATGCTATCAAATGGGACTTTCGGTTCCAAAACGTTTGGTATGAAACCAGTTATGAGCTGCGATCCAATCATCTACGCGAATGATTACCAATCAAAAAAAATTGAGTATTTATTTCTATTAAGTAATCGTTACACAACCCCCCTTCTGAAAAAGTGGCGTCCGCGCCAAAAATCTTCATGAGAGTTAAGTGTATAATATCTAGATATGTAGATGTAATTAAATCTATATATTTATTTTCTGAAGCATTCACTTTAATAAAATACAGATATATGCACACATGATCTTAACCCTGTATGTAAGCCAAAAGGACTTTCCCCAGGACGATTTATTTTTGTCAAATATTTAAAGTTCATCATCTTAACATGGGCAAGCGTGATCTCGCTAGTATGCGTTACCTTACATATTGGGAATCTCAAATGTTGGGATGAACAATTCCTGAAATTCAATAGTCATCCATGATAAAGTACTATTGGTACATCTTCAACTTCAAAAGTGGTTGAAATTGGAGTAATCGAAGCCTTGTGAATCAAGGTGTACTACAAAATTGTATATTTGCATAATATATTTGACATTTCTGATTTCCTCAGTTTGGCCTCAGGTATGTTGATATTCATCTTCAAGGTTCTCCAAATATAATCCGGCGTCAAGGCAACACCAACCATAATTAATCTTAGTAAACAATCACTTGTAAATTTCACATTTGATCTTGAATATATTGTATATTTAAACCTTTAGTTATATCTCAGTAATGTAGATTGAAATGAACAATGAACATATCTCTAACTGATAGAAGTAACACCACAATAGAATATTTTATTAATTTGTTTATTTTAATACTTTTATATACCAACAAGCATTTTAAGTATGACTAACATCTGACATCACCATTTGGGGATACACAATGTATTTAACACAAATATATATCATTACACACTTGCTGTGTTCCTTGCGGTGTATGACAGATTCACCTGCGGTATATGGCATACACACTAACCAATGAGAACGTGATACGGAAGTACGCAATTGTCAATTGCATCGATTGAACGAACAAGTAAAACATTATAAATCATTATAGTGATTATTGAATCAACAGTACTGTGTATCGAATATATCAACTTAGCAGAAGTATCAGTCACCAATCTCGCGTAATAAACTTACTCAATCAATCCAGGATTCATATGTTAGTACTCGACGCACTAACTATATTGGTAATCCAGCGTAGTTTTACATTAAGAGTCGATTCTCGCAACCAATCAATTCAAGGCTTTCTGTATTTCACCTGCGGTATATGTCATATTCACCTGCGGTATATGGCATATTCCGAAAGTGAGTATGACATATTCCGCATATGATTATGGAATATTCACTGAAATCAATGTATATTCACTGCGGAATATCGCATACTCACCTGCGGAATATGCCATATACCGCAGGTGAGTATGGCATATTCACCCGTATCACAAATACCGCGCAACCATGAATGTATGCCATATACCACGTAACACTAAGCATTTGTTAGTATCACATTTGAATAACCTATTTGAAATTGTATCAATAATACTAAACTAATACTTTTGAGTACGATTTTTTAACAATTATCAAATAGTCCTTAGAAACCTTTAATTCGAGATAGGTCCTCTACTCCATCTATTTGCTAAACTAATTAGTAATTACTGACTGAAGCTGAGGCCACTTGAAGTTAATTGTTCGTTTATGCGTGGATACTGTGTAATCTCAAAACCTCAATGGTCAAACAATGTTTCTTACCCTTTTAGGCTTTCATTTTGGTGGTCTTCTAAATGTTATATAAAAATGGCTCACATTGTGATTCCTTATACTCATTTAAAAATGCGTCAAGTTACAGCATTGTGCATTTAAGATGCCTACAGATGGACAGATGGAAGGACATGTGTATAAGTGTACAAGGGTAAATTAATAATAGTCCCCATTAACAGACAATTAACTTGTACAAAGACCTCAGTGGGCCTCAGTAGACCTCAGTGGTAAAGCTGATATTGGGATACACAGTGTCATATTCTAATCACTACTGGCAAAAGCTGGGAACGGGCCTGTATTATTGGACTATACATCCATTTAGCGACCCAGTGAGCTGCAAAATATTGTATGTACATATATATTAGTACATAGGTACATGTAGGTTATCTTCTGGTACATATAATGACTTAAATTCAGTGTGTACAATAGTGTTACACAATAATATAGTGATTGGCAATACTATAGTTGTTAATTAACCACAATTTTTGTACTGAGATTTTATACGATAGCAATATGGGATAATCAGAAACCAATGAGATATTCAGACACCAATGAGATATTCCACGCATTTACGAGACCTTTATATTTTTGTAAAAGAAAATTTGGCTCGTACATTAATGCACACACACCGTATAAAAAAGTTCTCCCCATTATTAAAAGAAATGGACACATCAAACTTTAATCTTTTATCCTTTGGTTAGTTATCAGCTGTTACTAAATCTTGATATTTAATTTTCCAAGTTCTAAACAAGTTCAAATTCAGATCCAGGTGTCAGCTAAACTTCAAATTCTCATTTCTACAGTGCACTGTACACTCTAAAAAATAAAATTACTTAAGAAATGTATTTACTTCACTCAAGTAATGCCCATTTACTTAACATTACTTAAATAGATTGAGATAAGTAAATATATTACAAAAGTTTTATAGTTTTTACACTATACATTTCTAATTACTTGAAAATTCCATTTTATTTGGCATAAGTATTTCAAGGACATTTAGTTACTTAAAGGAACATTCCTGGCCAAACCTTTTCTATCCTGATGTGATAGCTATAATCATATTTACTTTCCATATTTAGCAAAACATGGGGAAATGTTTTAATATAGTCAATATTGATAATTTAAAAATGTAGTGCTCATTTCCAGTAAGCTGCCATCTTTTAAGATTTTACTCAGGAAGTGATGTCATTGACTCTCAACTTTCATGACCTTGCATATAACAGTATAGGAAAATAGCACAATATCACTTCTAGACGAGTGATCCTTACTTTATGGGCAAAAATATGTTCAGAGCTTGTCAGCTTAGGATAAAAGAAGAGACTTTTAGAAGGATTAAATCATAGACAAAATTGAAAAAGAATATTCAGCTGGTTTTGTAATTCTTAATAGCTCCTTATAGTGTTATATGCAAAGTTGAGAGTCGATGACATCACTTCTTGAGTGAAATATTTAAAGATGGCAGCCTACTGGAATTCGGCACTACATTTTCAAGTGATCAATATTGACCATATCAAAACATTTTTCCCTGTTTTGCTAAATATGGAAAGTATATATATGGTTATAGCTACCATATTGGGAGAGAAATGGTCAGGCCAGGAATATTCCTTTAAATAATTTTCAATAAATTGATTATAATTGAAAGGAATTCATCAAGTTTTCAGGCTCAAGAATACTTTTTAGTAAAAGCATGGGCTTTCAACTTGCCAGTAATGAAAAGTAATTTGAGACAAAATCGAGAGTAGTAAGTAATTAAATTACTTATAATATTTTTCAGTTTCTGTCGGACAGTCAAAAAATCAATTTTTAGAAAAAGTTCAAATCCCTCAATCAAATCATTTGGTCTACTTTACTCATATTTACATGACTTATTTTTTGAAGTCAAATGTGTGGATAGTAAGAAACTCAGCCATTTTCTTGAGAAAAGTTTCTTCTCACCCTCTGCTCAAGTGACGTCAGAGTTCCAAGAATCTGCCAGAATTCCATAAATGAACTAAAGTTAAATTTTTGAAGGGGTGATAAATATCCAAAATTATAAATAAACAGATTCAAATGTGAAAAACCAGTTTACAAACTATTCTAAACATATGTAACTTCACATAATGTAATAAATGTAATTAACAATTTCAAGTATGATGGTCAAGTTTACAAAATATAATGACTTGTTATGTCATGAGATTTTTTAGAATCATCCACCATTTTGAAATTTAGAGGATAATCAGAGGAAAATGTAATTGGACATGATTCTACTCAGCTCTCTGACGAAAGGAAGGAGGTGTAGATAAGTCATGGGCCAAATTTATTATGTATGGGCGAAAAACCTAGGAATACGGCCGAATGAGAAAACAGATGGATTTTTCAATCGTCGGACAGCATCTGAAAAATATTTTAATGTATAGTTTGATATTGTGAATTTTTAATTTTAGTTTTTTGAATTAAAAAACAATTTCTTATTCAAAGGAACTCTAACAAAATCATTAAATAATAAATTTGCAAAGAACTATGTCTATTTTATATGAAGTTGATTAACATTATTAATGCTATTTCTATTTGAAATCAACTCAATAAGAAAAAACTCCATTTTGTGCACCAAATACAGGGTTATCAATAAAATGACTTAAATAAAAGGTTTTCTAAGATTTCTAGCTGTTAATACCATTATATTTTTCAAAGTTTCATCTTCATAGAAAGATGCTTCAAGTTAATGGGTTTTGATAATCATGTTTTTTTTAAAAAGGTCCCAAAAAGTGAAAATTCCCAAAGGGCTCTAAAAGTATGTGATTTACTAGATAACAATTATTAACAATGACAATATATCAATCTGACCCACAACAAAAAACATTGATCATTAACGCAGTATAGAGCTGTACATACATGTTGGTAAATATTCATCCAAGTTTAAAATTTGTGCAACAAACGTAGTCCACCCAAATAGCTCAGCGGTAGCACAGGTACCTCTTACACAATAGGTCCGGGATTCGATCCCCGGGTCAGGCAAGACTTAATTTGCTTGTCTGCCTAAAGTACTTCAAGGTGTTTGACTGAGTGGTCCACAACTCGTACAAAAGGCTATGGTGTGTACTTGTATGTCTATGTATGGGTGCACTTAAAATAACACAGGGCTCCTTTGAGGAGGGGTTTCTTCCAGGCTAATTACATTAATTATAACTGTATATATATATCGGATAAACCCAAGAGGTATTGCTCACCTTCATTGGTGGTAAACAAAATACAATACAAAAACAGGACTAATCACAATCAGTATGTGGAAGGCACCCAAAAAACCTAGCAAATAGGATGATTGACTATGTAAAACCTGTCTTAGTGAACACCTCTCTGGTGAACACCTGTAGCTAGTGGACACCCTTCACCCGCACATCTGCTACTGACTTTTGTATAAACTACCCTCTCTGTAGTGAACACCTACCAGCATTAAATGTTTTTTTCTCAGAATTTTTTGTTTCAATATACACAGGTCTGTGATTGAATAGAGGATCACCTAATTTGTGACATTTCTTGTGACTGTGTGTTAGAACATAATATTATTAGTGTTCTACACAGGCCAGATCATTCTATTTGGCAATATCTAGTATCTACTAAATGGCTAAGACATAGGCTAACATATTATCTATAGGCTTACATTATAATGCTATACTAATATAAGCAAAATGCCTACAAACCGTTACATGGGGCTAGATGTCTGTATTGTACAGACTCCATGTTTCTACAAGGCAAAAATATTGGAATGTTTTTTGTCCAAAGTATATTCTGAAGACAACCATTACCCTTATCGGATAATAAATCCTTAACAATGAATGTAATTTTTTCCTGGTAATATCCCCAAAAATGAAACTTTTTTTATACACTAGGCCTTCATGGCAACCAAATGGACCGTAAACTCAATTTGATATGCAGTACGACCACCATTACCATTGCACACTCTGTTTGACGATCTCTGATATCTCTGCCTCGTTCCTGATGATGTTAAATCCTCTCCCTGTGTACCAGCACACTTTATCACAATTCAAAAATATTTTCCTCAGCTTGTTCAAGTTTCTCTAGCGAAGACCTTATTTGTTTATTTCTTGCTTTAGCTTTTATGACTAATTCTGGAGATGACGAAATACTGTCTGAGGATTCAACGTCAAATGTTTTAGGACGTGAAGAATAATGCTTAGCTTTCTTTACTTTACTGCTGTGGTAGTTAAGCGGGTTTTGGCTATCTTCTGGAATACTGAAACACAACATATTGATTATGATTAATTAACATAATTTATTCAAATAATAATTTGAAATTTTACTATGGGGTTATATGATCAAATGTAATGCAATCAAGGAAGTTATATTGTGGCTCTGTTTTATTTCTGGATATTTTCATATTGTTGACATGAAAATTCAATTGAAGTAAATGTACATAGCAATATTCTTAAAACACAAACATATTTTTGATAATTGCAAATCTCTGCTGTCAGCTGAGTGCTCATTTTACCTATTCTAATATCTAAAGCTTATCTTATATTTAACAAGATTTTTAGGTTCGCAAGACTACCTTTAATGTTGTATTATGATAAAACAGCTCACCTGGACATTTCTTCCATTTTGCTGACACTGGATTTCAATGTGGCAATGTTTTTATCAAATTTACTGAGAAAATCTTTAGCGGATACATCCATGGATCCTTTTGTTATTGCACTTTCTGGAGTTTGTGTTTTTAATCTAGCAGCAATGCCGCTGTCAACAGAGTGAGTTCTGGTCACAGTAGTTGCAGTTGCTGTTGTGGATATTGCAGTCTCCCCATTCAAAGTATTTGAGTCACTAGTGGAAGGTTTACACACAGGAATAAGTAGATCCTCTCTCAAAAATAAGCTGTCATTTGTCCAGATTTTGTTGGCTCTTTTTATCTGCTCCATCTGAAAGTACAGACATAATGATAATTTTGCATGATTGTGTATTAAAAAACATGTATTTCGCCTTTAGAGATCCCTTGACCAATTTATGCAAAGGGTTTGCTTTCATGTTCAAAGTCAAATGCATTATCATTCAAGTAGTGGACTCAAGTTACTTGTATATGCATTTAAGCTTATTATGTCACCAACAAAAAGTGGTGACATATTGTTGTGGTCTCCATTTTTTGACAGTGGTTGGTGGTTGGCGGTTGGGGGTTGGTGGTTGGCGATCGGCGTCTGTAACAAATTCTTACAACTTCCAATAACTTAACAAATACTGTTTAGACTGACTTCAATTCTTTTCAAAATCATCTACATGTTTTCAGAAGTTCCAATCTGACTTTATACTTTTTCAAGGTCAAAAAAGGTCTGAAGGGTCTTTTTTCAACTTGCTTCAAATTGACCATTTTTTCAAAATCATCTACAAGTTAGCAGAAGTTCAAATCTGACTTTATATCTAAGATTTGACCTAAAATGACCTTCTCAAGGTCAAAAACGGTCAACTTTTCAACTTGCTTCAAATTGACCAATTTTTTTTTTAAAATCATCTACCAGTTCTCAACAGTTCAAATCTGACTATACATTTGACCTTCAATGACATTCTCAAGGTCAAAAAGGTATTTTTTCATCTTACTTCAAATTGACCAATTTTTTTTCAAAATCATCTACAAGTTCTCAGAAGTTCAAATCTAATTTTAGATTTGAGATTTCACCTTCAATGACCTTTGTTTGTATTTTTATTTATGTAAGAATCATAACAATGCAAAGCAACAATTAAAATTTGAATGTAAACCCTTGGTCACATTTGCTCTATGGCAACCATACAGTATGGTATATGATACCATTTTGAAGCAGCTAAATTGACTGAAAGTACCCAGAGATTTACATGTAACTCAACCGGATTTGTGCTTTCGCGGGAAAAGTTTCCATCATTGACGTCATAGATTTTTAAGCGGCTCATTATAATATTCATGAGCTGACTTTATGGAAAGGTGAATACACAAAGATACACTGTGAATCAGTTCCAGGTCAGAGGGACACTTTCGAGAGGACAATCTATTACAGTCTATGTATGTATGGAGTTGATATCAAATGGGACAACCCTTCCATTCACCAAACAATGCTGCGCTCCATTTGCAGAAAATGACTGTAAAAATGGTAAAAAAATTGCAGAAAGATCACTGAAGACATTATTTGTAATAGATATCCCATAAACTATTTAAAGAACACACTGAAGGTGATTGTCTTTTGTTTTTCTGATGTGCTAATTTCAAAGAATCAAAATGACCGCAGAAGTAGTTTAACCAATCAGATTTGACCTTTGGCACACTCAATCAAAAATTTTCGAACTTGAAATATTCCGTGAGGATTTAGGTCCATTAATGCGTCTCCGGGGCTTTATTTATAATCTGAGATTTGTCATTGCCAAAGAGGCGCATGACCAAATATAGACAAGAACACAAACGTGTACAATATGTCCCCACCTATGGGTAATCCTGTCAAATGATTATCCTAAAAATGAGTAGACAAGACTTTACCGACACAATTTGAGGACGGAGAATCCAAAATGGCCATCTTAAAATTTACCAAGAATGACAAAAAATTAGTCAGTTCTAGATTTTCATACTAAGAACCACCCCTGAAAATTTGAAATTGATCCCTCACACAGTTAACCAGAAAACATGTAAACAAGACGTTACAGACAAGATTTGAGGACAGAAAATCCAAAATGGCTGCCTTGACATTTATCCAGAATGCCAAAAACTAATCTGTTCTAGATTTTCATACTAAGAATCATCCCTGAAAATTTAAAATTGATGTACCAAACAGTTCACCTGGAAATGTGTAGACAAGACTTTACAGACAAGATTTTAGGACAGAAAATCCAAAATGGCTGCCTTGACATTTACCCAGAATGCCCAAAAACTAATCAGTTCTAGATTTTCATAATAAGAATCATCCCTGAAAATTTGAAATTGATCTACCAAACGGTTCACCTAAAAACGCGTAGACAAGACTTTACGGGCAAGATTTTAAGACGGAAAATCCAAAATGGCTGCCTTGACATTTATCCAGAATGCCGTAAAAATTATCAGATCTAGATTTTCATACTGAGAATCATCCCTGAAAATTTGAAATTGATCTACCAAACGGTTCACCTGAAAATGCGTAGACAAGACTTTACAGACACGATTTTAGGACGGAAAATCCAAAATGGCTGCCTTGACATTTACCCAGAATGCCCAAAAACTAATCAGATCTAGATTCTCATACTAAGAATCATCCCTGAAAATTTGAAATTGATCTACCAAACGGTTCACCTGAAAACGCGTAGACAAGACTTTACAGACAAGATTTTAGGACGGAAAAATCGAAAATGGCCGACAATAAAAAAGTGATTATGAGTTTTTGCTGAAATCTTTTTACAAAATTATCACATATACCTACTGTTAACAATAACATAAGCTTTTACAACAAAGTACACCTGAAATTATTTATAAAGCTACTAAAAAGTTAAAGCATGAAAACTGAAAAACACCATTCAATATGATACAAAGTATTATCGTGCGCTAACTTTTCTTAAAACATTCAAAATGGCTGACATGACTGAGCTAACAGGTCCAAAACCTAATCAGATCTAGAATGAAGTGAGCTGAACAAGATGTTAAAGTTTTAAAAGCAACTGTGAAGCCGTTTTTCTTAAAGTTTGCAGACAAGGATTTTAGCATTTGACTTCAAAATGGCCGACAGGAAGTAGGTATCGAGTTAATTTTTTTTCATCCACATCTGCATGCACTCATAAATTATCCCTGAAAATTTGAAGGTGATATCTGCAGCGGTTTTGGAGAAAACTCCCGGACGTACGGACGGACAGACAGACGGACAGACAGACGGACAGACAGACGGACGGACAGACGGACGCGCCTAGGCCGACAATATGGCCCCACACTATGTGGTGGGGACATAAAAAAATGGTAAAGTTGAGCTTCTGAAAACAATGGATCTGTTGTTTTTGCTTTTTCTCAGAGCTCCTTACCTTAATCAAAGAAATTCTTGCACCACTATGTAGCGACACTGCTTGGCTTCAAAATGGTACATGATTTGCTGGGGTAAATCATAATATTTCCATCAAATTATCAATAGGAATCAACTCCAAAGTAGCGCTGGGTTAAAAATTTAAATTTTTTCTCAATTTCATGAATTCTAATATGGGACGATCCCCACCCCTAATGACACTATTACAACTCCGATAATCAAAGAGAGGATTATGAGTATATTCAGGCATATTTAGAGTAATATAGCCACAAGATGACTATAAACAAACAATAAAATGTAAGTTTATAATTATATCTAAATATTGTGAATTGAATTTTTGCTCATACAATTCTTATTTATGGTTGAAAATAGGGATTTATCAGTGACCTAAAATTTTTCACTTTTGTTAAAGTGTTAGTTATATACATCCAACCGTTGTTTGTTTGTTTGTTTAATCTATATTTCCTCCAAGCTCATTTTCTTAGCATACACGGTCGTAGATATAATAGCTAACAAATTGCAGGAAAAGCTTTCCTGGCCTGTCTGGGTACCATACTAACCAAAGTCACACAAATTATAGATTAATTATTTTGCTCCAACATCAAATTTAAAAGTGTTAAATCTTACCTTAGACATGTAAAACGCTTGATAATTGACGAAATATAATCAATTGAAGTAGTTTCATTATCGCCCGCCATGTTGCTAAATGTTGTTTCCGGTAGTCTAAATGTAAAAATGTATCGAAACGGAAACATAATTATTTATTACACAGAGATTCAAAAGCTGTTCTCTCATACTATCTCTCTACTTTTATGTTAGTCTCAGGTACTACTCACTTTTCTCATTTCTGAAACAATAACTTTTCCACGTTACTTCCCTTCTTAACAACACTGCTTTCCTTTCAACTGAATCTTTGTGTAACAAATACTTACGATTTCGTTTTGATATAGTTTTACATCTAGACTATCAGATTAACCCGGAAGTGACCTTGGTATGGGAAAATGAAAAAAATTAAAATTCAAGCAGAATGCTTATATTTCTTCAATTTCTAAGCATTTTATGTGCCTAAGGTAAGATTAAATACTTTATAGTTGAAGCAAAGAAATTAATTTATCATTTGTGTGAATTTGGTTGGGTAGACAGGGCAGGAAAGCATTTCCCGGAATATAGAAGCGGCCAGTGTGTACGACCCTCGTATGCAAGAAAATAAGAAAACAAATGACAGCAAACGACGGTCGGATTTATATGACTAGAGTCCATTTCACTGCTTCATTTCGTCAGTAGAACGGCAAAAATAAGAAATTGGGAGACCATTGTGCAATAATATATGGAAAAGTATATATTCATAATGTACATGAATGACATTTGTATATTTCAGATTTCTTAGTTTTTTGTGCAATAAGCCTGTGCCGTCTTGTAATTTGAAGAATTTCAGCCATGTTAATCTTATTGAAAATAACATGGCAGAGAAACATCCAAATATAAGAGGCCACACACTTTATAAGTCAAACTAGAAGCAATCCAAGATATACAAATGTCATTCATGTACATTATGAATATTCTTTTCCATATATTATTGCACAATGGTCTCCCAATTTCTTATTTTTGCCGTTCTACTGATGAAATGAAGCAGTGAAATGAACTCTAGCTAAAGCGATGAATGGTCAAGACTTACTTCCTGCGAAAGCTATTTGGATTTTGATATAATAGCTTTCCCACGGAGCATTTCGACAGCTCAGTGATTGTGACCTTTGAAATCGAATTAAGTCGATCCGCGGCTTACTTTTGGTCTCTAACTGTGTCTTACATCAGTATCATCAATCCGTGTAAGTATTGGAGCGCTGGAGTACTTCTTTTTCGATCAAGACTTGTAATTGGTAGTCGAGTGAATCGTTTTACTGCCAAAATTCCAATATGGCGGTTTCTGCTCGGACATTTTCGTAAATCTCCGGAGGTTGTCCGAACCTAACTAATTCTCAAAATTCATTTCGTTCGTTGCATATCTCGCACCTAGCAAACCGCCATATTGGAAATAGGTCTGTAAAACTTTAACTCGATGAACAATTTACAAGTCTTGATCGAAAAAGAAGTACTCTAGCGCTCCAATACTAACGCAAAGGTCACTATTGATCAGCTGTTCACTTCTCCGTTTGAGAGCCATAAGTTTCAAAATCTAACATGGCTCTCGAAGTGAGTAAGTCAAGACCTCAATCAAAAAATATAAATGCGATTCCATTTTTGGTCTTGTACAATACCCGTATTACAATGGAAGTCTACAATCAATGTACAGTATCGCTCCGTAAAATTATAGATGGATACTATGACAACTTGACAGCTGACACTGACAGCTGTGGAAAAACAAAATGAAACTGATAAAATAAGGAGATAATGTTACATACTGTTACGCCATGTTTGAGAGCTATTCCTTGGAGAGTTTCACCCTTTTCTACTTTATGTTTTATATGTATTTCAGGTGTGTGTACTGCTTTCCTAGATGTTCCATATTTCGTTTGTTTTTGGACAAATTGTCCCAGAGAAGATTTTTCATTTTTCTCCATCTTGAATTGTGGTCTCGTTCATTGTCAAATCTCGATGCTAGTTTTACCAAGCCTTGGATATATATATATAATGATATCTGTTTCATGGCACCTTTATACAGTTTTCAACATTAGATAATGTTGATAATGTGTATTTGATCTTTGATCATTGTAAAAATGTCACTTCTCGACAGATCTCGTTCAAATCACAAATTTGTTTAAGTTACTTCCGGTTTAAATTTGAGAAAGAAAAATCATGAGTTATCAGCTTTATCGCAATACAACTCTTGGTCACACTCTGCAGGAAAGTTTAGACGAACTTATCCAGGTAATGTTCATATATTCGTTTGTGTCTGAACTCTGTTTCATGAGAAATATTCGACATGATATCATTTTTTCTTCAGGCCAGTGCACTTTGGAGTTTTTTGAAACGAAGTGTCTGGAGTACCTTAAAATTTAAGGCTCTTTAGCCAAAATGCTAAAGAGCCTTAAAATTTAAGGCTATTTAGCTGTGAACATAGTGTTTTGGCTAGAGAGCCTTTGTGTTTATAATCCGTGTTTATATTGTTTTTTATTGAAGTTTTCGTCATCTAAACAATAAAACAACACTCTCGAAAGTTTTTCAACCCAGAATGCCACTTAAAAATTTCACACATGTATATCACTATAAAGTTGTAAAAAATTTAGGCACATCATGGAAAAACACTCTGGTATAGTGGTTAGGGTGCTCGCTTTCCACTTCTGCGGCGTGGGTTCGATTCCCCGACGGAGCACTTTTTATTTTGAATAACAAGCCGGAAGTTTGTTCTCCGCCCGGATCTCTGATGTCCGGAAATTATGTACACAATTTTTTCTAGAATTCTTGGCCTTGCTCCATCGCTCAATCATCAATGTTTAATGAAATTAATCACTTGTATCGGCTTTGCTATAGTCACGAGAATACAGGGAATCCCATTTTAAGATGGCAAAAAGTATGGGGATGAAAGGATCTTGTTTCTTCTAGATCAGCACATCTTGACGCAGTTTATCGTGAATGCAGGGACATCACAGAATACACTTCCAAATCTATTGCCCATTAGATTTCAATGCTGATTTTAGAATTTTTTACTTGACGATTGAGATATTTTTGCATCTTCCTCAGAATTTAAGCACATGAGACAGCACAAAGAAAATTTACAGTACAAAAGAGGTGAACTGTCGAGGAAACAGCGGCTTATGCAACACAACAACAACATTTTTATCCTAGCCTCCAATCCATCAATAAATGACTCTATAGTACATCAAAATCTTTACGAAACGGACGTTGCGATTTATAGTGGATAAAATGGTAAAAATAACATTTTTCTGGCTATACGTGATTGCTTGGTCTTACACCTTCTCTGGTGAACCAGAGACATATATTTTGGATGTATGCATGAACAATTATCAAACATTTACTTTTCAAAATCGATGTTTGAACCTTTAAAAACCAAATTTAGACTGGGGATTGAAAAGGTTCTTTTATTTCTCTCGGTAGACCGGAAGTAAATTCATGAGTCGAGCAAAAAGTGATAATGTTTTTTATGAAGTGGGGAAGTCAAAACAGTACTTATAGAAGTCATAGTAAGCATTAGAAGATCATTTAAAACCATTCAAATCGACGGCAAAGTTTAATTGTTGAAATGACTGAAATCTTTATATGTTCTTCTTCATCTTCGCGGACCTCAGAGAAGTCACTTCCGGTTTAATAATCAGTGATTTTATCGAGCAAAAAATTTTCTTTTTGAATTTGTCCGATATCTGCTAATATGGTATGTATATTTGTGCTGATTGTTAAATTACAAAATAGGTTGGGTATAGAATATGTCAAAGTCGTCAATATTTCGTCATTTCTGTCGCCTGGAATTCCTTTAAGGCTCTCTAGCAGAATTGGCTATCAAAATGCTAAAGAGCCTTAAATTTTAAGGCTCTTTAGCCCAAATGCTAAAGAACCTTAAAATTTAAGGCTCTTTAGCATTTTGGCTAGAGAGCCTTAAATTTTAAGGCTCTCCAGGCGCGGCCTTTTTGAAAAGTATCTAAACCACTGACTGAATATTCTAAAGTTATTCATATCAATATTGATTTCAAGTCGGATATTTTTTGTACAAAAAAATCAAACATTCTGAAGAATTATCAACCCTCAATTAATAGTCTAGTCTAGGTACACTAGTCTACAGTGAGGGACAAAAATAAAACTCAACGTTCACAAGTTGTCACAATGAGCTAATTTCCAAGTTTTGTGTCTAAAACTCTCCCAAGCGGTAGAAAAATAATTCCCGTTCACTAAAGTAGCACAATAAATGAATCCAAAGCTTCATACCTGCAAATAATGGATAAATCCCTACCAAATCGAATAAATGTTTTCATGAATCGCCATGTTTGTTATCCAAGGACGGTTGACTTCCAGAATGCAACATCAGTAACCGCATTTACTCATGACAGGTTTCAAAATGGCGGAACAGCATTTTGAAAGCTGGCACGTGTCATGTTGCATTCTGGGAGCCAATCCTCCGTTCCGGCGCAATCGGGCGACAAAATCACCTCAATATTTGAAGAGTCGGCATAACATGTGAATATCCACTTCAACTTTTGAAGTTCTTATTTGTCATTAGGGACACAAATTCCACTATATTTGGACTTACTAAGACGGAGAAAATAGAGCACTGAATACACTGAGGTAAGAATTTATTACATGTGCGACAGCATGTAATTTTCATAGCTTTTGCAATTCTTTATGATCCCCACTGTAATGTATCCTTGTGCAAGAATGAAAGATGAATATGATGTATGGAATGAGTTATGTTTATCTAAAAATAGCACATGTCATGAAATTTCATCAAAGCGCACCCTGACCTTCACCTGCTAGGATTCCTTGCTGATCCTCTGGCAAGTGAGAAGAAGTCGACAATATAATCACTGAAAGAAATATCGGGAAGGAATCTTGGTTGGCAGTACTTGGTCACTGGACGAGTCAGGCTATGCCAAAAGCCTAACAGTGGTAATACCCCTGGGTTTCAGTCTATAATATAAATGTGTATTGGGGAGACATCATCGCTGACAGGTCAGGGCCGGAGTATAGGGTTATAATGAAACACGTCTAAATTTGAATGCACTGTCAAACTAACATGCTATTCAGAATGATCGATCTTTGAGCCCATTGGCATATAATGGCCAGAGGTTATTACTTGACTTTATCGCGTAATATTGAATGTTTTATATATCTTTATTCTTTGTATTTAAAGTTATATGTAAATCAAGCAGATGGATAAGTCTGGGGTTTAACGCATCCTTTTCAAATTCCATTAAAGGTCTCGAGATACTTATCAGAAATTAACACCAAACAGAAAATAAAAAAACCATGTGGATTTTAGAATTTTTTGAACTAAGATAACAGAGTTCTGCTTTAACCTTCAATCAGTTTTACTACTCCCTCCCATATATTATCTACATGACCAGGGGTCTATTTCTCTAAAATTCGTAAAGTTACTATTTAGTGACTTTTTTGTAAGTTTTTGAAATTAGTACGAGCTTCGATAACCTATATGACGTCATTGTTTTAGTTCTCATATTCCATTGTCAGGTGTGACGTTTATTGCAGTTCCAGAGAAACTATATTAATGCGAGGACATCTAAGCATGTGTGGGAATATAGACCATGATTATATCAACAATTAATCACTGTAAATGTATCTTAATTCATATGGATATCGGACCTAAATATATTTCTTGCATACTTAATATATCTGCGTTATATAATGTCTGGAAAAATGAAAGTACAAGAGTCAAGAATGACTAACAAGACCTCTGGAGGTACTATAAAAGTAACAGATGACATCATTATAAAGTACCTTTTGCGCATTTTATTATAACCGTTGTATAGGTCAGGAAAACAGGAATGTTTGTCAGTTTTGAGGTCTCTCTGCAGTAAAGCTATATTAGACTGAGAACTGCACTCAATTGAAAGGTAATTTAGAGAAGAATGCAAATGTTGTTAATGTTGTGTCACTTTTCTTTCTGATTCCTGCCTCAGAAAATCCCACCTAATTGCTGCTTAATATTAGTAATTTTGGATTTGACAACAATTTCCCAATCTCTTCAGTAAGGCTATATTGTACTCAAATTGAATGAATTTTTGAGGAGATCACAATTATGGTATTGTTTTTCTGATTTTCCTCAGAAAATTTAAAATGGCTGGCTTAAGCATTACATTTAATACAGTAGACTTCAAATATTGTATTGCCAGCTTCATGATTTGTGCCTTTGAAACTCTCTGCTTAAAGGGGCAACAAGGACTGTTAGAGAGAAAATTCGAATCAGGTCAATATTTGGCTTCTTTGACAATTACCTATTTTCTTAAAATGTATGTATAAACTATCAATTTCAGCATTAAGAAGTGTAAATTGAGTTCAAAGCTTCTATAAAGGGAGTCCCTCTTATAGATTTTTAAGATCCACCACGTTTCAAGAGGAATATCAGCTGAAATAATGTTCATCCAGGGGGTTTCTTTGTAGATAATGAAAATATATGTTAGTCTTGATGAAATATCCAAACTTAAATATATTTTGGCACTGGTTGATGATCGTTGAATGGCCCCCTGCACTAATTGTTGCACCTTTAAATGCTTAAATTGATGGAAATTCTGATCTCCAATATCTTTCCTTTATTATCTGCAAATCATGAGTAGAGTAGATGGTAAATATTCATAAATATTGTGTTCGTTAGGATTTGCTACTCTGTGGGGTTGCCATTCTGTTGTAGTCATGTTCAAAATTAATATTGAAATTACAAAATATGTTTTGTTACTTTGGATTTGCTGTTATTCTGGTTGAATTAGACTATTTCCTTAATATGATAGTAATGTCGCGGGTGACCCATTCCTTTGAAGATAGATGGTAGTCATTTACCACGATTGTAGCTTGTACAGGATGGTATGGTCTGAATGGCAATTATGATGTAAGAACATTTTGGACGACGGATGCAGGTTTGCCCAAAGCGCTATATTGGCCTCTGGAGCATGTTGTTTAAAGTGCTGCAATATTGTCACTTTCAATCGGATGATCATGAAATATTGTAGCTGATAGGAGATTGAATGATGTACCAAATATCCAGAAGTACTTTTCTAAAATGACAAAGATATAATAGTTGCAGGGTTGCCATTTTATTTGACCACCCTGTACTTACCACTAATAGTTAGTGTTTCTTTTCCAGTGTGGGCAATTATCTCCGGAGCTTGCACTCAAAGTCTTGTTACAGTTTGATAAAGCTATCAACAATGCATTGGCTAATAGAGTAAAAAACAGGGTCAATTTTAAGGTTAGTATTACATTATATATCCAGTGACGAGTTACAGGTTAAGTTTCACGTCAAAATGAGCAAATATTTTAAGGCCATTTAACATTTTTATGCTAGAATTGGTGATACAAGTCTGTATATTAAAAATTATTTATTTTTGAAAGTACGACATGTGACATGTACTGTCAGCAAAAAGTCATATGACTGTAACATACTGTCAGCAAAAAGTCATATGACTGTAACATACTGTCAGCAAAAAGTCATATGACTGTAACATATTCTCAGCAAAAAGTCATATGACTGTAACATACTGTCAGCAAAAAGTCATATGACTGTAACATACTCTCAGCAAAAAGTCATATGACTGTAACATACTGTCAGCAAAAAGTCATATGACTGTAACATACTGTCAGCAAAAAGTCATATGACTGTAACATAATCTCAGCAAAATGTCATATGACTGTAACATACTCTCAGCAAAAAGTCATATGACTAACATACTGTCAGCAAAAAGTCATATGACTGTAACATATTCTCAGCAAAAAGTTATATGACTGTAACATACTGTCAGCAAAAAGTCATATGACTGTAACATACTGTCAGCAAAAAGTCATATGACTGTAACATACTCTCAGCAAAAAGTCATATGACTGTAACATACTCTCAGCAAAAAGTCATATGACTGTAACATACTCTCAGCAAAAAGTCATATGACTGTAACATACTGTCAGCAAAAAGTCATTCTTGTGGATATCAATATATGAGTACACAATTAACACTTCCTTATTTATGATATTTCAGGGACATCTTAACACCTACAGATTCTGTGATAATGTATGGACATTTGTATTAAATGATGTGGAGTTTAGGGAAGTGCAAGACTTTGTTAAAGTTGATAAAGTGAAGATTGTAGCGTGTGATGGGAAAAGTAAGTACATATGTGCATTTTAGTGCCAATTAGTGCATTGATAATAACATTGAACGAATTTATTATTATTTAAATTCTTGAGCATAGAATGTATGCTTTCTCAGTCTACAAAACTGACCATTTCATTATTTTTATTGATGTTTCTATTGGTTGTCTTATTGTCAATGTACATGTGCAGAATTTATTGAGTTACACACAGAATTACACACACTTTTAGTTGTCGATCTAATAGAAAGATGGCAGGTTGGTTGTTAGAGAAGATGTACAATAAAAAGATCACAACTTGTGAGGGTAGTGTTTCCATAGCAATCATTTTAAACTACAAAATTGAAGGATCAATTGTGAAAATGAAACCTTTATCATCTATACACAGGGGTGTAGCCAGCTTTCAGTGGGGGGGGGGGGGGGGGGGGGTGTGCGACCGCCGAAGAAATTTCAGTTTTCAGTTATCGTGACATAAGCAACCAAAAAAAGATTTGTTTTGAATTTTATACAAATTGATGTAACTTCCTTCAAAATTGAGCCTGAAGCATCAGATAAAGACCGTTTGAAAGCTCCTTTCTTCCTCTATCGCATAAATGGTTATATTTTCATTGGTTATGGGGGGGGGGTCACATCATAGCACCCCTTCCTGGCTACGCCTATGATACATGTACTTGTATATGCAACACAACATCTTTCCAAATGTTCATCATTTTATATTCCCATCGGATGGGGGGGGGGGGGGCTGGAACAAGTTCAATTCTGTTTCCATGATGGGAAATATAAAATTTAAGTGACTGTAAATTTAAGTAAAGTACATGTACTGTTTAATAATTACTGAAAAGGCTATTCTATACAGTCAGATGAATTCATTATCAAACATAGTTGCATTAAAATATTAAAAGAAAATTGTAAAAAACAACAATGTTATTGTATATATTTTATACTTACTTTCAGGCGCAGAAAAATGATTGTAGCTGCTAGGCTGACTCTACCATAGGTTAGCTTGAATGGAAGGATCTCTAAGACTAGTGTTTGAAGTGTAAAGACAGAAAATAGGTTGTAGTACTCTCAGATATGTGCAATGCACAATACATTGTACATACTGGTGTCACAAACAATATGAACAAATATGAACTATTAAATACATTAGCTATGGTGCAACTATATGGATACCACAGACTTACAGAAATGGGCTGAAAACTGGTAAATTTTGTCTCTGGCAGATTAAGATCAAATAGGTGGAGTTGCAAGTCTTCTCAAGTTTATCACTCTATGATCTCTGTCCTTTTTGTAAAACCATGTAATGTGAATACGCTTCAACGTTGTTGTGAAATCTGAGTTGTATCATGGGCTTTCTAGGAATTTCTCTAGAAAACTCCTGATTCATTAAGTGAATATGCATCATTCATTATGGACCATATTATCTTCTATTTTTGTGTATATATACGTGTATGATAAAGTATAAAACTGGATCAGATCTAATCTGACAATAGCATTAAACTGATTTGGCTCTTTATAGTCCATCTTGGTTTTGAAATATGGGGTTTTGATATATAAGTCGAACAGCGAGGTGTGATTTGGTCAGGCATGACCCATAGTCACATAAGCCCACACATACAGGGTGGTCAAAAAATGGAAACCCTTACACCATTTTCCTCATATCTTTGTCATTTTAAGAAATAACTGCCTGATATTTTACACATTTGTGGACATTTACACATCAGGGAGTAATTTTTTAAAATGACAAATATATAAGGAAAAAGCAGGGTTTCCATTTTTTTTTGATACCATCCAATCCATGATAACCTTATATATACACTGTAGATACATTGCAGTGATCTGATCTCACCAGGATTTTTTCTCAGATGGGCACAAAATTCTCATTTTCACAATTCAGACCAAAATTGGTCAAAATAGACCAAATAGGATTTTTCTCATTTTCAAGTGGGTGCAAGCCTATTCAAAATCTCAGGTGGGTGCTGCGCCCACTTGCTTGGGAGATCACTGCATTGATCCGTCGATTTTTTACCTTACATTGAAGTATAAACAACATTTTTCATGAAAACATATAGCAGTTTTTTGTGAAGAATATTCTATGTAGTAAATAATATAAATATGAACCCAATATTTGGAACCAAGCTTCTGTGATTTAGTTAATATGACTGATTGCAAAAAGTATCAAGAAAAGGAGTTGACAGTTCATCTTGAATGCGCATATTATTGACCAAACATTTTGTAAATAGTAATTTAAAGAGACGCTGATGCAAAATGATGTACTATATCCACATCTACATGTATTTGATAAAATTATATACCAGGCCCGTAGCCAGGATTTGCCAAGGGGGGGTTCAATTTTCAAAAAATTCCAGGGGGGGATTCACATTTGACAATTTTGGCCCAAATTAGGCTAAAATCACTTGAGAAGTGCTCAAAATGGTCAAAAACTGCATGATTTTGAAAGAATTTTTGGCCAGGGGGGTTCGCCCTGTATAAATAAAAAATATGTTGGTGATCAACGAAAATTCCTTGTCAGAATGTTGCTGACAATTGCACTTGAAGAAATTTAACATATTCACGTACAAAGGCCAACATAATATAAATAAAAAAACAACACTGATTCTTTGTAAAGTCCAAGTATGGGACACATCAAATGCCTATAGTCATACTTGTGTGACAAAGTCATACTTGTGTGACAAAGTATACTATGATTAATTTACGGAAGCATTATTGTTGATCGACTCACACATGCCCTTTGTTTGTTTGTTACTTTTATAAAACCAAGGCTTGCAAGATAAATTGTAATCTTTACAACCGTCATAAGTGGGTGATAATAGGGTAATGTTTAAATTGTATTACATATACTTTATGAGCTTGCAAATATTGTTGATAAACAGATAATAGAAAAGTTGTGTCATCTAAAATTGTAATCTCACAAGAGAAGTAATAAATGACTCCAAAATCAAAGATATCATTTGTAAATGATTGGCATTACGATATAACTGAATTGGACACATGTTTCTCTTAAACCAGTCATTAAAAAATTCTGAAAATTTTACAGATCGTCAATTTAATGATCATATTTTGAATGGTAACAATTTAATTTGAAAAAAGTATATATTTTTCTCTATGTTGTTTTAGAAAACACATCAGACACTTCTATTCTTGGTATCATATGTTCAGAATGAAATGAAACATCTATCCGAACCTCATTGGAACAAAATGACATAAACACATTGTGTTTAGGACCTAAACACAATGTGGTCTCTCAATATTGTAGTTCAGAATTGTACAAAGGAAAGTTTGGTTCATTTAAAAAAAAGTATCTTGTTACTATTTTGTTCCAACAAAACACGGGTCGGAAATATATTTTATTTCATATATTCTCAAGAATTGGTAGAAAGGAACAAAAAACAATTGCATTAAAAAACAAAAAATGTTTAACAGAAACAGTTATATAAAATATATACAAGGGCTGATCCAGAAGTCCTGATGAAAATGCTCTAACTTAAAAGTTTATCATTCATTTTGCACAATGTTTTCAGAGTAACTGGGTCATTCATTTCCTCATAAGTTATAACAATTTTAGATGTTGGTTACAAATATTTCTGAAGTTATGGTTGCTATGGTAACCTCAATAACGCTATAGGTGGACAGGGTAATACTTGCGAAGTTTAAAATTAATTTTCTTTTGAATAAATGATCAAAATTCCTTTACAAGGTTGCTTAAGTCTACCAATGACTGTTTTAATAGTAACTGATGTTTATGTCATTTTCTCATTTGTATGAAATCATTGTAAACCTTATATTAAACAGAAAACATGAACGCCTCGTGATATACATTACTTCACCTTAGTAAAGCAATGTGTAAAAAGCGATCGAGCAGAGCCATAGATTCATACATATGTTTGACTAGGACAACACATCATGTCAAAAATCTTATCTGGCATGGTCTACAATATTATACGTAACAAGTTAATTATGGTAGATTAGGACAGAAGGTATTAGGACATCCTCCATATTCCCCAGATAATGCTCACCTTTGTTGTGTTTTGACTTTGGACCAGCCCTAAAGAAGGATCCGAGTGTCTCATATTTTAGAACATTTGTTGAAATCAAGAATGCTGCCGACACCTGAGTAGGACTGCAAAATGTGTACAAATAGTGGTTGATTATTTTCATTGAACTTTATGTCAAATAGGATACAGTTGGATTCAGTTTTATCAGAACTTCTGGATCGGCCTTTGTATAAATGATTTTCGCATTAAAGTGTTATCAATCGGTGACCATTACATAAAGGACCATGTCTTTTTACAGAATGTTTTCAGTAATTGTTTTAAGAGAAAAACAATGTTCAGCTCACCATATGTATACCAATCCTTTCACAGCACTCTCCAGATTAAAAAATGAAAAAATATGGCATCCACTTTTTCTGCCGTGTCTTTAGATTTATGCAATGGGGTATAAGAGCGGAAGAGATAGTAGGCTACTCAAAGGTGAAACCAGTTTGCATTGGTCTATTGTAGATAGATCCTTCCAGGACAGATGTCGAGTATCGATTTCCAGTTGGTCATCGTTCACTCTTCGTCCCCCTTCTTATGTGTGGAAATGTCCATTTTGCCTTTTGATGTGTAACAATTACATAATAATTAGATTTCACATAATAATCTTACTTCCTTCAAGGACTTTGGCACTAAAAGAACATTTACAGATTGTATTTGTACCCCATGATGTAAGCAAATGTATGATTGACAGTACATGAACGTACACTACAGGGTGGGCCAAAAAAACCAATACCCAACTTCAAATCAGGATAAAAATACTTATGTTCAATATGATACATTGACTTATATATCATTTTAAAGCTAATACATTTTCAAACAATTTGGTATGTAACACTATGACATAAATTCAATAGCAAAGGTGTATTATACTTATTTGGGAGGCTGGGTCGCTGTTTAAGGTCTCTAGATTTTAGGGAGAAAACAGTAAATCTGTGGAATTATGTAAACTTTTTATTCATAGAATATCATTTTGTTAGGTGAATACATGCATGTTTATTTGCATCAATGTGTGACTAAACTTATTGTTTATGAATTTCAGTGTTGTTAATAACATTTTACAATTTATTTATTAAACAATTGCTTAATATGCACCCCCCCCCCATGCATCAACAATAAGCCTCAAGCGGTAGCGCCATCTATCAACAGATTTCTGTTGCAATACATTCCAGCAATTAGGATTCCGCGGTTCAGCTAATCACTACTTTTTATTGGATGCTTGTGATTGTTAACATGTTCACCATTTCCTGTACCTATTACCATATATGGAGATGGCTCCATGTATGGTAATCCACCACATTAGCATCGGGGCTTCTGGGTGGCCAAGCATCTGGATCAGTCAAATTGACAACTTGTTACTGAAGGAATGCCAATGTCACCTTTGATCTATGGGACAAGGCACCGTCTTGTTGAAAAATAACCCCCCCCACCACATATACGTTTTATGTCTTTTAACATACCTCTTTTGAGTACTTATAAATAGTAAACAATACTGAAATTCATAAACAATAAGTTAAGTCACAAATGATGCAAATATACAAGCTTGTATTCACCTAGCAAAATGATATTCCATGAATAAAAAGTTTACATAATTCCACAGATTTACTGTTTTCTCCCTAAAATCTAGAAACCTTAAATAGCGACCCAGCCTCCCAAATAAGTATGATACACCTTTACTATTGACTTTATGTCATAGTGTTATATACCAAATTGTTTGAAAATGTATTACCTTTAAAATGATATATAATTCAATGTACCATATTGAACGTAACTATTTTTATCCTGATTTAAAGTTGGGTATTGGTTTTTTTGGCCCACCCTGTATTTTTATAATTTTTTGTCAAAATAGTAAGAGAATATGGAATATTGACATATTTTCAAGAACACTTTTTACACGTAGATTTTATTTATCTTGCGTTCTATTTTGAAAGTTTTAGATAAGTCTTGTCACCGAGATTCCAAACGGAACGTTACTTATAATTTCACACATGTTATATGGTATAAGAAGTTCTAGAGGTGATTAACTTTTCGGCGGCCATCTCGAATTCTGGCAGCCATCTTGGAAGTTTTTAAATAAATCTTGTCACCGCGATTCAAGGAAAACCACTATATAACGGAAAGTTACTTCTAATTTCACACATGTCGTATGGAAGTTATAGTACAGGCTAGGGACATTCCAGTGAGGCCTCTTTCTATGACATACCCCCGCACCCGGTATAACAAGACGTATGTGGTACCATTTTGTTCGGTATGATGTGAAGTTTTCAGAAACCAATTTTGACATTTTCAAATATGGGTCAGATTCCAGATAATTAGCGTAATGTTACATAATTTATTGTTTTCTATGTTTTTATATTTTCAAGGTTTAAAACAGCTATGGTTAGGTTTTTATCAAAGTATAACAACAGATAATGGTGGTAATGCTTTCAGAAAAAATTGATGACAAAATTTTAAGAAATTTAAAATGAATATTAATCATAATTATGTAATTATTATGTAATAATGTTAAAAAATTTGAGATTAGACGTTGCAAGACACGCAATAAACTGGTTAAACTTCACCAAATACAAAAAAATGAAT